GCCATCTGTGTTTGGATGGGGGCAAGCGATGGCCTGTCTTTTGTGATTGTACAATGAGGTCATAATCTGCAAAAGATGCCACAATATTTGCCTGGAGGCTCCATCAGTGTGTACAGGAGAGGGATGAGGAGGGCCTTGTCAGCTGTCCTTCCCTTCCTTCCATAAAAGGCCACTCAAGAAAATCAGTTCCTGGTTTGGAACTGAAGTGAGTTCCTTGTAGTTTGGGTTGTGTTTGCTCAGCTTTATGTACAGCACAGTTTCTCAACCTCAGCAACTTTTAAGGTGTGTGGACTTCAACTCCCAGAATCCCCAGCCAGGATAGGTACAGTGGTGTCCAAAGAGCCATAGGTGGGGTTTCAACTCTCATAATGTCCTAGCTTTAACTTCCACCTTAACCTTGAGACTATTTCTCAAAGCAGATCTTTCAGACCAAGTCTCCTGGTGCAGGAAATAAAATGAAAAATAAATGACCTTGTCTAAAGGGAAGATGCCAGGCCGACAGACCCAGGAAAAAAGAGGGGAAATAATCCATAGTTAAACGCCAACTTAACTTCACAATGGACAACACTGGGTAGTTCAGTTCCATTATCAAATCCCATCTCCCATCAGAGCAGAAACTTCCTGGCTAATCATGAACAGGATAGTGTCTTCAGCCTCAAAATCCTTGCCTGGTAAATGAATTTGACCGTGTCCTCACAGGCTGTGGCAAAAAAAAAAAAAAAAGAACAGGTGACTCTTCTAGTGCTACGAAAATAGTATCTGTGATTACTGAGTTCAGCAGCACCTCCAAACAGGCCTTAAAATCACATTCTACATTCTGAAACTTGGACTATACGTAGTAGGATTCTACCCAACTCGCCCTTGTGGAAATGAATGAAAACAAGCCTTTTCATTCTCTCTGGAGGGTACCAAGCAGTCAGCTACACGTGTTTCAAGAAACAAAGAAAATGCTGGAAGAATATTGTCTCTAAGTACAGTATATTGCAGGAGACTACATTAAGTGGGAATTTTTCCTGATCCAGCTTCCAAGCCCATTAAAGAAGGTTGCAGAAAAGCCCTCCCTGATAACTACTCCTTCCTTCCTTCCTTCCTTCCTTCCTTCCTTCCTTCCTTCCTTCCTTCCTTCCTTCCTTCCTTCCTTCCTTCCTTCCCTCTCTCCCTCCCTCCCTCCCTCCCTCCCATACATCTGTCACTTTCTGTGCTTGAAAGTGAATGTAGTAATTAAATGGCACCACACAAACATTCACACTCACACACAATATTAGCTAAGCGTGGGACGAACAAATAGGAACAATAAGATTTGTGGGACTAAAAACAAGTTTAAAAATAATTAAGGAGAATATACCCCCACATGGATGTGCGCATGCGCGCGCGCACACACACACACACACACACACACACACACACACACCTCAGCTCCAGGACAGTTCGGCATGCTGAGTAGAGGCTGAATCCTCACTGCGATGAATCGGGGCAGAGGACAGAGCAGCCTCACCTGGCCACCTGTGCTATTTTGTACCTGAGCAGAGATATTAGGATTGGGTATAGAGGAGCTCTGGATGTTATGGCAGAGGGCAAGCCTGGCTCTTGCCATATCTGCTTGCTATGCAGAGAGAGAGAGAGACAAAGTCAGAGAGCATGCATGTGCATATTTTAACCTCCTCTACTTTTCAACAGCTAGCAAGCTCACAGCAAGTCCCCACCCTGTCCTTTTCCAGCCAAGGTGTCCTACATCTGCGATGCTTCTCAACTACCGCTTTTCACTGAAACGAGGCTGGCTTCCCATCCACCATTGGGGAAGATTGAAGTTCTGCTAGATTGGTTTGTGCTTGTTTTCCCTTTGCACGCTCAACAATATTTCAAGCCAATCTCTCCTGCCATTTTCTTCCTGGCGCTCTTTTCCCCCTGGGCTCGCCCTGCCTCAGGCTCTTGGCTTGCTCAGCTCCCCAGTGCCTGTGATTTCTTGTTCGTGTTCAGGAGGGCACCTGAAGTTCTTCCTCAGCTCCCCGAGAAACATTCTCCATAGTTCTTCAGATATTGTATTCCTTGGCTACCACAGTGTCTTCCTTCTTCCCCTCAGGTTCTCTCTCTAATCCTCTCCCACTTATTCCAGACAGAGAGGAGCTGTGCCAACACCTCTGCCTTCAGCGGGAGTCTCCATGGCGCCTGCTGCCCGCCAGCCTCTGGAGGAAGAGAATTCAGTGGGCTGGCCTCGTTCAAAGGACTAGGTGCCAAGGATATCCCCACCCATTCCCTTTCCGTGCCAGGCCAGGTAGCGAGTCACCTGGAATGGAAGTGAAGCAGCTAAAAGGAAGGGTAGGAAGAGAAGATAAACAAGACACTTGGTGGCAAAGGTTCATAATTGTGCTCTCTTCATACATGGCGACCCAAGAAGGGGATAGAGGGCAGTGTATTGGGCCACTGAGTCACAGGAGAAGAGCCTGGATCTCAGGCCATAGAGATTCCATTCTGACTGGCCTCATCCAACCCCACCCACTATCAAGCCACATTTTGGCTGAGGGTGTTGTGCGATCATGGACAACAACTGGGGATGCAGCTCTGTTTATGATCACAGTTCTTGATTAGTCTTCAATACCTCAGCAACTTCTTCTTGGTTGCATTAGTTGCCTATCTGTTGCTTGTCTTCCTTGCTCCATTTGAATTACCCATCCAAGGCTCTTATTTATTTATTAAATTTACATGCCACCCATCAAAACAGAAACAAAGAAAGACAATACAGTGATTTCTTATATGATCCACTTTCTCTGGATCAAGGATGGTGTGTTGGTGCTCCTTATGTTGGTCAACGTGGAGGCCCAACATTTTTCCCATTTCCTGGAGAATTGCTAGGAGTTTGAGTCAATAATTTTGAGAAAAGCTACATATTCCTCCCCATCTGCTTAAGTGCATCTGAGAGCCAAGTGCTGCTGACAAATGGATTTGCCCAACACAGAAAGCCTTATGAGAAATGCTTGTTTGGGGCTTAATATGCTTGTAAACCCAACCATTGTGGGCCTTTTCTAAAACAAATGTACCGTAAGAATACGGATTAAGCTGTGGCTTATTTATCCAAACCTTGGTGAGGCAACCATGATGAGTGAACCAATTTCTGAGACTTCCTTACAATCATTTCCATCTAAGACGGGCCTTTCGTAAGGCTAATTGATAGTTTCCTGCTGAGTCCTTGGCGCTTCTTGATCCTTCTCTTCTATTGATAGTTTCCTGTTTAAAGACTCGTCTTGGTTTGTCCTTTCCCTGACCAGCATTTGGGGATTATCCCTAAATTACCCTTTCATTAATCAGCTTTTATCTCTTCATCATGTGTCATTAACATTTTTCAACTGGATGAGCAGAGATCTTCTTTCTCTTATAGTGAAATTATATATTATCTACATTACCCAGGCTTTCAAGCTGAAGAAACAAAAGTCTGCTCTGTGATTGTTTTTACTGGGGAAAGTGAGCTACCAGTCCCAGGGACTTGTCCTCCAGAAAAATAGATTGCCAAGTAAGGTCGCAGGTTTTGGGCTCCATGAAAGCGCAACAGATGTTGTTATTTCATCTCTTGTTATTTGCTAGGGAATAAGAAGAGATAATATAGGATGTCCTGCCTTTGGGAAGCTTGACTGGATGAAGATGAACAGATGCACCCAGGGAGCCATTGCCAGCAAACTGCCTTGTCCCAACCCTGATAAATAAATGTGACTGCAAGTCATAGTAGAAATTTACCTACCAGACCTGACTGCTTGTTAATTGCTGGAATTAATGTTTTGCAAGTTCACAAAATAGTCACATCCCAGATTTCAAAAACAGCACAATAAGGAATAGCACAGGAAAAACTGGAATGCAACAATTAAAGGGGGGGGAGTCTAAGGATTCCCTGTCATAAATAAGGAAAGGAAAGGAAAGGAAAGAGGGAAGGAAGGAAGGAAGGAAGGAAGGAAGGAAGGAAGGAAGGAAGGAAGGAAGGAAGGAAAAGTGAGATGAGCAAAAGCTGGATCAGAATGTTTTGGAGTTGGTGACTCTTAGCTCCGGTATCAGGAACAGAAGAGAATGCAATAGCAAGGAGAACAGTGTTGATGGGTTGAGGTATCAAGCAGCAGGGGCCAATGAGCAAAGAGATTGAATGACCAGATCAGTCTCCTTCCGGAACTGTGCAGATGTGCATTTGGATTCATCCTTCCTGGGATGCTGGATGACTACTTTTGCAACACTAAATTCAAGTCCTCACATGACACTTCAGCCCAGGGAGAGGTCATGGTGAAAACCAGCCTCCTATGCTGCAATCACAGTTGATGTGACAAATCACATAAAAAGAAAAAAAGTCATGGCTTGATCCAGAATTTGCTGGAAGACTGGCTGTCAAAAATATATGTGTAAGCTGGGCTGAGGTGCTCCTTGGAGACGAACAGGATGTAAACATGATGAAGAACTTCTAAGATGTTTGTTAGTAAGCAGATGCTAGCAGGTGCAGAGTACTGATCCCTCCTGGACCAGCCAGGAACTGTTCTGCAGTGGGTTTTCAGCAACAGAGCCCTGGCACAACCCCCCTCTCGCCCACCCACAGCCACCTGTCAAGAGCTTCATCCCACATTCTGGTGGCAAATTATTTTGGCTTTGCTTGCTGAGCTGAGTGCCCTCCCCCACTCCCAAGCTGCAAAAGGAATCTCAGTCTCTTCCAGAAATGGAAGTTTGGACAAAATTCTTCTCCCCAACTGGAGAAAAGGCAGCTGAGGTGTCCTTGGTGCTCTCTGAGCTTGGTTGCTTTTCTTGTGTTTCATTACCCAAACTAGGTAAAATTATCAGGGCTAGTTTTATAAAGCACCTGCTTTTAAAACATATTGTGAACTGAAATGTAACGGAATGTCCTGAAGTTTGTGGGGTGAGTATCTGCGTGGCCCCACACCACCCACGCCACCAGGCAGGACAGGGTGTCTGGGAAGGGTTTGTTGTGGCCAGCCTGCTAACTCTGTTCCCTTTCCTTTCCCCCCTCTCGTTCGCAGGCACTTACCAAGGCCAGTGGGCCGGAGGGATGCGTCAGGGCTACGGTGTTCGGCAGAGTGTCCCATACGGCATGGCTGCGGTTATCCGGTCGCCATTAAGAACATCGATCAACTCTTTGCGCAGCGAACACACCAACGGCACAGCATTGCACCCTGATGCATCCCCTGCTATGGCTGGGAGCCCCGCTGTCTCAAGGGGGGGATTTGTCCTGATGGCCCACAGCGACGCGGAGATCCTGAAGAGCAAGAAAAAGGGCATCTTCCGACGTTCCCTGCTGAGTGGCCTCAAGTTGCGTAAATCCGAATCCAAGAGCTCATTGGCCAGCCAGCGGAGCAAGCAGAGTTCCTTCCGAAGCGAGGCAGGCATGAGCACCGTGAGCTCCACCGCCAGTGATATCAACTCCACCATCAGCCTGGGCGAAGCCGAGACCGAAATCTCCGTCATGGAGGATGACATTGATGCCACCACCACAGAGATTTACGTGGGTGAGTGGAAGAACGACAAGCGGTCCGGCTTCGGCATCAGCCAGCGCTCGGACGGCCTCAAGTACGAAGGGGAGTGGGCCACCAACAAGCGTCATGGCTACGGCTGCATGACCTTCCCCGACGGCACGAAGGAGGAGGGGAAGTATAAGCAGAACATTCTCGTGAGCGGCAAACGCAAGAACCTCATCCCCTTGAGGGCCAGCAAGATCCGCGAGAAGGTGGACCGGGCCATTGAGGCGGCTGAGCGTGCGGCCACCATCGCCAAGCAGAAAGCGGAGATTGCAGCTTCCAGGTAGGTCTTTGGCAGTGACCCTGCAGGTTGACCAGCGAGGAGGAGGACGGGATTTGCATTCTTATGTTTAGTGTTTTTGAAGGTGTGAGTTTGGGATCCACTCTTTAGGTCAGTGATGGTGAACCTTTTAGAGACTGAGTGCCCAAAAATTAATCCTACCCTGCTCCACCACCTGCCCCCGCTCCACCCTCGTCCTGCCTGCTCCGCTCTGCTCTGCTCCCACCCCACCCCCTGCTCCGCCCACCACCCCACCCACCCGCAAGGCCACTTACCGCCTCCATGGCCCGCTCCAGATCGCCCAGGCAGCCCACCAGTGCCATGGTGGCCATGCCCTCCGCCTGTGCCCCGCAGCATCAACTGCGCATGATGGGGTGCGAGGGCGGAGTCTTGTCCCCGCTGCCTGGCTGCTATGTCCTTGGCTGCGCTGCTCCGCGTGGGCCGTGCTTTGGGGCGACTCTCCTCCAGGGGGCTGCTGGTGAGGAGAGAGCCGCAGGGGCAGGCGGGGCTGGGGCGACAGTGCGTGTGCCCACAGAGAGGGCTCTGAGTGCTGCCTCTGCCACATGTGCCATAGGTTCGCCACCACTGCTTTAGGTCCTCCCTAGGATCTGAGCCTGCAACACCTGGTGAAAAGTGCTGATGGAGAACGGGTGGAGTTGTGCTTCCAGTAAGTTGAATAAGGCTGTAGATTTTCTGCTGAGTTGGTCAACGTGCAGCCAGTAGCTTCCTTAGTCCTCTGTGGCAGTCTATTGCAAACTGAACTTAGTTATGGAATTCAGCAGCCACATCGTAATAGCATCTCTTCTCCTCAGCTAGGAGATGGAAAGTAAGCATGGGAACAGCAGCAGTTCCTTGAGTGGTATCTTCTAAATCAGAGCTTGGAATCCATCACGGTCCAGGAACAATTTGCTGGGCAGGCTTCTTTTTCCTTCGATACAATCGCTGTCTGAGTTAAAACTTCCTTCTGGGTGTATCCTTTGCTTGCCACTCCAATCAACTAAAAACCAAGGTTTTATCTTTGGTGTTTTTCAGTGGTGCAATGGACCAAATTCTATAAAGCAAGAAGTGTGCGGGCTGGCTACTTCTTGGGCAGTTATTTTGCTCAGCATCCTGATTGGGAATAGATTGCTTAGCATAAACTTGGGGTTTTGTAAGAATGCGGGAAAGTATCTTGCACTGAGATCACCCTTGCTCCACCTCTTGCATTTGCCCTGCCTGGAGAAGTTGTGGCTCTGCTTCTCCGCTCAGGTCTGAAGATCCCAGGAGCAGATAAGCAATATAAAGGAGGCCGGGCTTCATCTTAAGTTTTTTGGGAAAAGTATGTAGGTGCTTTAGAGGGCAGATTCTATGGCAGATTTAGCACCATTAATTTAATTTCTTGTCCCAAGCCAGTGGGAAATTGTGCCATTGACAACATTTCAGCCATGCCATCACGGATGTTAATTTCGGGAGGCAGAATGGCCCTGCCTGGCTTACAGATGGACGACTGAATATTCCCAGTTCGGAGAGAAGCCTTTCTGTTAACACTTAACAGGCGGTGGCGTTAATAGCAATATTATCATGCAGGACGGTTGTCAAAGCCTTTGGATGTGTGAATAAGTAAGAAAAGAAGTGGGGTGTCTCTCCTTGTGTGTAATTTATTTATTCACATTTCTGTGTCATTCTGTGCACCAAAGAGATTCCACTTACTAGCGCGTAATCTTATCTGGCCACCACAGAACTTGGATGAATGGGAAGCATATTTCCAGTTCTTCTCGTTCTAGACATCTGGGCTGAATGACTGAGAGAGAAGGTGCCCATTTATGGCGAACAGTAATAAAGAAAAGTTCTCTCAACAAGAGAATAAAATGTAGACACACCTTCTTCCTCGACTAGAGTAAGATGAAGACTAAAGTCTGTGCTCTGATTTGGGCAGAATCTATCCGAGGCTGCATGCTCAAGATTCAATTGAGATGATTAGAGAGAGAGTCAAAGTTTCAGGAAAAACAGCAGGAGAGCTATCCCACCTTGATCTATTTTAGAGGGGAGAGGGAGAGTCCATGGATGCAGGCACTGAAATGTGATGGAGACTTGGTAGCCATCTTCCAATACTTCAGTGTTTCTCAACCTTGACCATTTTAAGGCATGTGGACTTCAACTCCCAGAATTCCACAGCCAGCAATGCTGGCTGTGGAATTCTGGGAGTTGAAGTCCACATGCCTTAAAATGGTCAAGGTTGAGAAACACTGCAATACTTCAAGGGATGAGCATGTATAAAGTGTTGTTTGTCAACCCCGAGAGACCGTAATAAATCTCCCAGCACCGCAAATGAGTTGTGCTTCAAAAATACAATACTCATCTTGCATTTGGTAATCCTCTTTCTGGCAGCTTCATAACAAGGACTCTCTGACATTTTCCTGGGCCAGTCTGGACATTCAGACAACCCCAAGAGGATTGAATTGAGATACAAATACAATGGAGAATTGTATGAATGGCACATATTGTAGAAAGGCTGGCATCTCTGGCCTCAGAAGTGGCTCTGTCAGTCTGTCTGCCTGTCTGTCTTTGCTGTCTTTAAGACTTGTGGACTTCAACCCCCATGCTGGCTGGGGAATTCTGGGAGCTGAAGTCCACAAGTCTTAATGATGCCACATTTGGAGAACCCTGGTTTAAACCAAAGAAGTAAGACTTGAAGTTCAGTTGGCCACAGCCAATGTCTGTGGGGTGTGGAGGGGTCTTGTGGCACCTTAAAGAGGGTGAGACAAAGGCCTGCAATTGTTGGTGAAGAAGAGGCCAGCTTGGGTTTTTCAGCAGATCCTCAGAAATGTTGTTTTCAAAGCTGCCACAGTCAGAAAGGTTGGGGAGGGGGCACCTGCGGAAGGATACCTTCCCAAAGGGCAGATGTCCCCTGGCAGATGATGCTCCCCTGGGGGGAGCAGGGGGGTTCTTTTCACAATGCATACAAGCCCAGCAAAGGAGGGGGCTATAAAAGGGTCCATCCCCCCCCCACCCCCATTGAAATAAGCTACTCTGCTTGCTGAGGCTCCTGTGCACAGCTCCTCCTCCTTCGCTGCTACAGAATACCAAAGTAGCGCTGCAGGGTATGCCCATCCTCAGCGCCAGGTCGGGAAGAAAACCCGGATGGGTGGGGATGGCTGGGCAGCCTTTGCAGAATTGGATTCGCTCTCCTGGTCCCTAGAATGACGTGTGGGGTGCTGTGCATGGGGCCCGCCCGGCTAGGGGGTTCCCCCAAAGGCAGCGGAGGAGGCTGGAAGCGGGGCGAAGGAGGGAGCGTGTGGCGCAGAACGTTCTGTCCCTGCGCTCTCGGGGTGTTTTTCAACAAGAAGGCCAGATGGAAGCTGGCAGAAGTGGAGCGGCAGGGTAGCGAGACAGGAAGGAGGCAGGCAGAGGCTCCGGTGATTCATCCTTGGCGAGGCAGGCGCTCCTTTTTCGGAGGAGATCAAGGCGGGGAAAGGGAAAGGGCCAGTCATGTGCAAGAGAGGGAATTGTGGTTCTTTCCCCCCCCCACACACACACCCCTCACATCTGGGACAAACCTCCTCCCCCCCCCCGCTCTCCCCCCAGTCTTTCCTGTTGTCTCAGCCCCCCTGCACCCTATGCCCAGCTTGGCCCAGACAAGGCTGCTCAGACGTCTCCCCCTTCTGGCGGGCCCTCAGCTGACTAATCCTGCCAGTTTGGTTGCAGGGAGGAAGGACTGGGTGGCCCCTGGGGGGGGGGGAGAAAGAGACTCCCTCCCTGAGAGGAGGAGGAGGAGGAGGAGGAGAGGCCCAGCCCCGTTCAAGGATCAGGCTCAGATACTTTCCGTCAGGAAGGCCCTTCATCTATTTTGTGAGTGGGAGCCTCCAGAGCTGAGGAGTGACTCTAGGAATTTCCCCCAAGCTGGCATTCTGCAGAGGTTTTAACTGCAAACACCTGGAATCCTTTGCCACGCAGGGCAGGTTGCCCCTCAGGACATTTTCAGAAAGTTGTAGTCAAACCTCTGTGACACAGACAGGCCTGCACTGACTACTTCATCATCGTCGTCATTATCACCATCATCGTCGTCATCATCATCATATTCTGAAAGATTCTGTGCATAGACATGCAAATGGTAAAATAAATACAATGACAACATGAAAATAGGAACTATTAATGAGCTTTACGCAAATTAGCCAGGCCCCTTTTAGCTCAGGCTTGATTTATGGTTCCATATTTCATGTAAACCCAGAAAGTTGAACTAAATCATGGTGTCCGTAATGCACCCTGCGATTAACAAACTTCTTAATAACACTGTGATATATTCCGAAAGAGATTAATTTGGAAAAAAAAATTTGGAAAGATGGAAGAGCTAATCCAGACCGGATATAATGCTTAAGACCAATGGCTCAAGTTAAACCAGGTGAAGAGCCGTCTGGTGCAAATGCATTTTGATTCCAGAGCTGCTTTTGGACTGCGTAAATCATTTCTCCTTCCCCCTCTTCTTTCCTCCTTTCTTCTTTTCTTGCTGCTGCTGCAGCTTTTACTATTCAAAAACTGGAGACATAAACTACTTTTCCTGCAATTTGAAAGAAGAGCTATGTTCACTCCCTCAAGCTGCTTGTTTTCAGGTGTATTTCTGCATTTCTCTATTGTCTCTTGTCCTTCCGTCCTTCCTTTCCTTTCCTTTCCTTCAGGAAAGTTGCTTTAGGGCAAAATTGGGCAGTGGAGACTTTTCAGATGTTGCTGAAAGACAATTCCAGGATCGTCATTCAGCAGATTGAAGAGTTGCTTTCCACCAAGATCTGTTGGGCTGTTGACTCTTTGGACCTGATTTTAAGGTCTAAAGCCAGAAAGAGTTTGTTCTCATCACTGCCTTAATGAATGATGCCATCACCGGAAACAGAGACTCTGTACAAGCTTTGCTCCTTCCTAAGGAGGCATGCCTTCAAGAAGAAGGTGGTATCTCATTCTATTTTAGATTATGCCGATCGTGCTCTGCAGCAGGACAAAAAGATAGCTGGCCGTGGATTTTTAGGTAATCCAGA